CCGTTTGGACTGTTTTGTATTAGATTTATTACAATATAAAAGTTAGCTCCAGCCATACAGTAAGAGATCCCCATCTCTTGCAGACCTGCTGGCAGGGCCGGCCCACCCAGGAGACAAGGCAAGGCAGCCGCCTTGAGCAGCCCAAGCCCAAGAGAGGCAGTGCCGGCAGCAGCACTGGTTTCTGGCAAGATCTCACTGAAATCTCATGAGTTCTCACAGCGTGCGCAAGATCTCACAAGATCTCACAAGAAGCCGTGGTGCCAGCAGGGCAGGGAGGCAAGTTCCTGTTTCGGTTCAAGTGGCAAAATGGGACTCACCATCTCTGGTTCTGGGCGATCCATTGTATGTGAAGATCCCTGGAGAGTAAAGGTCCAGGCAGCCATACCCAGCCCCAAATTGCCGGCAAACCCAGCTGTCCCTCCACACACTGCTTTTGCCTTGGCTTGAAAACACAAAACTGTTCTCCCTCACACCTGGTTTCCTATGTGGAGAGAGGACTTCCGTATGGAAGAACTTTCAGTCATGTTAGAAGGGATACAGCCCAGGCATGAATGTATCTTTCACCTCAGTGACAAATAGGCCTTAGCATGTGCTAGTGATGTCAGCAGAATTCTCCAAATTCTCATTTATGTAGAAATTTAGGGTGTTGTGGTACACCAATGTCTGCCCTAGAACCAACCCTTCTGCCTTTTTTTTTTTTAAAAAAAAATAATTTTTATTAACAGACCAATCAAATCAAATTAAATCACATCACATAAATTCCGAATTACAAAGCCGAATTTTAAATTTTTGTTGAGGGGACCCATATTTCAAGTTCCGAAGGGGGATTCCGATCATCATCTTGGTACTGCGTTAATATCCAAATCAGTCCAAATAAAGTTCATAAAGTTCATAATTCTATCCAGTCTTATCTTGCTGTTTCCACATCTCATCTTGTTCGTATATTTTTTTCTTTTTTCTTTATGATCTCTTCTGATAATCTCCTTAAGCAGATAAACACCAATTATAATCCTGTGTGAATTTTTCCGTTCATCCAATCCTCATATCAAGATGGTTTCCATATATCATCACTTTCATAAATAACATCGCTCTTTCCATCATTGATCTTGCAAAACTGTCGCTCTTAAGTCCCTCTGAGGAGTCACATCCACAATATAAAAGCAGCTCTATTTCTCCTCCCAGACCCAAGTCCTCCGACAGAGCTTGCCAACATGGCGACGGTATTTTTAACTGCGTCATTCCAAAGCTCTTATACTTTGCACGATCTTCTTAAAACATGCTTTGGTTAGAAAAGTTATCTCCACACAGTCATAAATCCACAGCTTAAGTCATTAAAACGACATTTCTGACTTGTGTGTGTGTGGGGGGGATTCTTGGTTAATCACATAGAGGAGAAAAAATGAAAGTTTTTTCCCCCTCCCCCCTCCAGCCCTTTACCGTACCGAGCCTTGGCGTTTCTTCTCATGATTTATCTTGTTCCTCCGACCCGTCTTGTTTATCAGAGATCTCTTCAGTTAGCAGTCTTTACTCCCCCTCCTTCCTTGAAATATGTGCATTCGCTTCCTCCTAATTGTTTCTTTTGAAGTTCTTGCAGCTAGTGGCGCGGATCAGAGACAGCGTCCAGGAGCGCCAAGATCCACAGGAGGGCATTCTGCCTAGTGCCCCCATCCCCACAAATTCGGGGGTGGTATAGGGCACAGCAGGCAAGGGCAGCCCCCCCACAACCTTGGGGGGGGGGTATGGAGGCTATTTACTCCCATCACAGCCTCCTAATTACCTCGTGTGGGTCGGAGAGATGTTATTGTCAGCCATCTTCCGCTGCGCCCCTAGTGGCCCCTCCCCAACCCTTCTGCCTTAGATAGTCTGTCAGTTTTTGTCATGAAGTAGTAACTGATTTTGACTCACCAAAAAACAGGGGATTTTTACTCACTGCTTAAGTACATAATATCTTAATCATTTTGATGAAAGATTTCTGAAATTCTCTGAAATTTTGAATTACTATTACTTTATTCATTTTTATGAATTTGTTGTTCGTTTTGTATATGCTATTGTGTTTGATAGTACAGTGGTTGCAATGTTTGTTGTTTTTCAATCTTATTGTGATTATTGTGATCCACTTTGAGCTCAACATTTGTTGTTGGAAAAGCAGAATATATATAAATATTAAATCAAATCAATGTTAAATCACATACTGTAAGTTATGTTGACTGACTACTTTGTGTCTTATATCTGGCCAGTTACACACCTCATGGAGTGATTTAGTGTTAAAAACCTGTCTTGGATTGGGCCAATGCTAATCTGAGTCAAGTGTTTTGTTTGTTATAGTGATCAGACATGTGCTGGGAGCTTTTGAGTTTCAGGAATAGAAATATTTCCTGAAAAAAACATTTTGGTTATGTGGTCGTTTACTTGGATCGTGTGCAGTTCCATTGTTCTCTCTACCTGACTGTTGCTACATCTTTCTTCTTCATGTAGTCGTCTAGCCAATCAAACATCTTGTAGTGAACAGAATGATGTCACAAGGCTATAGCTACTGAGATTTGACTAACAACTTTATTGTATTTTATGTGCTATAAGTCACCTTGCTATATTTTATGAAAGAGCAGATAATAATTGTTTTTTTAAATAAAAGAATAAACAATACAACTAAAGGTAAGTGAAATTTTCCCAAAGAATGTATAATTGCCAGATTTTCAAGTAGCACCAAAACAATCAAGTTCATTTCTTGAGATTCTGCCTGAACCACTTTGTAACTGATATTGCAATACAGATTCTCACTCTCTCCAGTTAAGTTATTTGGAATCCTTCAAGATTTGGGGATGGTGACTGATTACCTGAATTACCAAATGTTTCAACAGTGCTGATTTATTTAATTGCTATTTCTATAAATGCACACACACAAAGCGGGCATGGGGACGTGGGAATAATGTCATATAGTTAAGTCACTAGGTGGTATTGGACATAGTTCTATCTGAGTAGAGTCAGGATTTTTCAAGATTTTTCTGCTCTGGTTAGAGAGAGACAATGAAGTCCTTTCCCCACTTTCTCAGTTCATCTTAATGAATGCAAATGGTATTTATGACTTACTCAACTATTTAATAATGCAACCTGCAGCTGCTCATTTCCGTAAATTTTCTTATATTTATATCCTGCCTTTCTTCAGTCATAGAATCCAAGGCAGAGTATACAAGGTTCCAAGTCAGTCCCCTTCCTACTGACCAGACCTAGTCCCTGATGGTCTTCAGCAAGATGTGGCCTTTTATACGGTCAGAGTCAGACCATGCTCTCATCATATACCTACCTGATCCGCTCTATGGAATATTAATCTGGCACCCTTCCGATCACAAGAAAATAATAAATAGAGTTTTTCCCACCTCTTTTTTGCAGTCCTTTAGATGCTGGAATTTGTTTCTTGCGCTAAGCAAGTTGCACTCAGGCTACATTAAAAGCATGTCTATAATCCCAATCACTGGTTCAGTTCAGAAGTATGATTACAACCTTAAGCATGATGGGTAAATGTAAGGTTATTAGCTGTTAGGATTGCTATTGAGGTCAGGATTTTAATAAGTTCTTTGTTGTGTACTGCCAGGATATCAGATTTATGCAGTTGCAGTTTGGGTACTAGCATTTTTAGCGTCAGCATTTTTGTAGCAACAAACCAGATAATGTCAGGGATTATTGAGTCCAGATAGTTTGGGTGCCTGCCTGCCTGCCTGCCTCCCCTCCCACTATGAGAACCTTCATCAAATTGGTCTTTTACCAGAAGGAGAATGCAACACTTTTCTTTCACCAAAACCAAGCAAGACAATACAAAGGCTAAAAAAAGGAGACTGTTTAGCTTTATATCTTTGGAAAACTTTAGTGTTAACCACATACAGTACATTACATATGCATTTTATTCGCCGCTAATAAACTGCAGGGTTCATTTCTTTCCAGCAGGCAACATGTTCCAAGCATGTTTCCAACACTTTTATTTTTTCCAGTTGTACTGCAAGACTCTGAAGAAAAGAAGAAACTGAATAGCAGAGTAATCGAATGCATTCCTATTTAGCATGAAGGGAGCAATACACACCCAAGATGTCCTGGGATTAACAAGTTAAGATCCAGCAGATCTCCGGCCCAGCCAGCCAATTCCCAGCTACACTAGTGCAAGCCCTGCGATGCCAGCTGAACAGAGACCGGTGGATCTTATGCTGGCGTAAGCCCTAAAAATATTGGTAACGCAGGAGAGTGACAGCCAGCAGCAGGGCCAAGCAGTGTCAGGGGGAGACTAAGCTGCACCCTAACTCCTCCATGCAGCTCTGTCAGAGCAGCAGAATTTACAGTGGCACAAATGGTGTAAATGTCAAACTCTGTATCAAAGGCTTGTTTTCCTTTTGCCAGGCTCAAACAGCTCAGCCAGCGGTAGCTGCACTCTGGAACGGAATAATTTTTGCCATCTTCCTAAAGTTCTAGGAGGATTGCAGCCTGAACCTGCCGCCTGCTTTGGGAATGCCAGTGACCCCGATGGCATTACTACACCAACAAAGGCTTTTAACATGTAAGGATCAACTGTATGAGGATTGATTCAGCTTTGCTGACCAACAAAATAATATGTAATACGACAATAATATTTAGTACACGAATTTCAATATTTATTGCAATCATTAACAGTCTCCACATACCACTAACTGAGAATTCCTTGAAGATGTATTTCGTGTTTAGATTGTTTATTATCCTGGGACATAGGACAGATTAGTGAAGCCCGACTATTCCTCTTATGAGTGGAACAGAGTTTTTCAAGAAACAAAGGGTTCTTTCTGAAAAATACGGCTCCATCGAGTTCCCCCTTGAGTACCATTTGCCATATCATGGGCCAATATCATTAAACTATATGTGTTTCCTTGATTCCCCTGGACATCAGCAGCTGCTGCTGGTGGAATCATATCATCACAGAGTTGCAGAGTTGGAAGGGGCCCTAAGGGTCATCTAGTCCAACCCCCTGCAATGCAGGAATCTTTTGCCTCATGTGGGACTTGAACCCACAACACTGAGATTAAGAGTCTCATGCTCTACCGACTGAGCTATTCCAGTCCAGACAAGGTAAAACACGGTGCAATGACTTCAGGACACAGCAGAGATAGACTTTGTGCAGGAACACTTCTCTCTCTCTCTCTCTCTCTCTCTCACACACACACACACACACACGGTATCTCGTACATAATACACCCCATTATTTGTTGTGCATTCCAATAAGCTGCAATTCCATCTCTAGAGGTTCATTTAAATGAACTGCAAGTTCAGCTTAGGTTCCTCATCAGTATTTTATTAGAATCATAGAATCATAGAGTTGGAAGAGACCACAAGGGCCATCGAGTCCAACCCCCTGCCAAGCAGGAAACACCATCAGAGCACTCCTGACATATGGTTGTCAAGCCTCTGCTTAAAGACCTCCAAAGAAGGAGACTCACCACACTCCTTGGCAGCAAATTCCACTGTCGAACAGCTCTTACTGTCAGGAAGTTCTTCCTAATGTTTAGGTGGAATCTTCTTTCTTGTAGTTTGGATCCATTGCTCCGTGTCCGCTTCTCTGGAGCAGCAGAAAACAACCTTTCTCCCTCCTCTATGTGACATCCTTTGATATATTTGAACATGGCTATCATATCACCCCTAACCTCCTCTTCTCCAGGCTAAACATGCCCAGCTCCCTTAGCCGTTCCTCATAAGGCATCGTTTCCAGGCCTTGACCATTTTGGTTGCCCTCCTCTGGACACGTTCCAGTTTGTCAGTGTCCTTCTTGAACTGTGGTGCCCAGAACTGGACACAGTACTCCAGGTGAGGTCTGACCAGAGCAGAATACAGTGGCACCATTACTTCCCTTGATCTAGATGCTATACTCCTATTGATGCAGCCCAGAATTGCATTGGCTTTTTTAGCTGCCGCGTCACACTGTTGGCTCATGTCAAGTTTGTGGTCAACCAAGACTCCTAGATCCTTTTCACATGTACTGCTCTCAAGCCAGGTGTCACCCATCTTGTATTTGTGCCTCTCATTTTTTTGCCCAAGTGCAATACTTTACATTTCTCCCTGTTAAAATTCATCTTGTTTGTTTTGGCCCAGTTCTCTAATCTGTCAAGGTCGTTTTGAAGTGTGATCCTGTCCTCTGGGGTGTTAGCCACCCCTCCCAATTTGGTGTCATCTGCAAATTTGATCAGGATGCCCTTGAGTCCATCATCCAAGTCGTTGATAAAGATGTTGAATAAGACCGGACCCAAGACAGAACCCTGTGGCACCCCACTAGTCACTCTTCTCCAGGATGAAGAGGAACCATTGATGAGCACCCTTTGGGTTCGGTCAGTCAGCCAGTTACAAATCCACGGAGTGGTAGCATAGTCAAGACCACAGTTTACCAGCTACTTTACAAGAATAACATGAGGGACATTGTCAAATGCCTGGCAGGAATGAAGGTAGGATACATCCACTGCGTTCCTTCATCTACCAGGCTTGTAATTCTGTCAAAAAACGAGATCAGGTTAGTCTGACATGACTTATTTTTCAGAAATCCATGCTGACTATTGGTGATCATTATTCTTACCAGTCTTGTTACCCAGTGCTATTGCTATCTGCAATGAACAGATACTATGGCATACTCACTAAGAGACAGCGCTGCCAACCAGAAAATCCCCTGTCTGTCACCATTTCACTAGTGACCTCAGGCAATCTGCTCTACCCCAGCTCCCTCTCCTCTCTGCTAAATAGTGACAGTAACAGTAACTTACCTAGCGGGTGGTGGGGTTGGAAGATTAAGTAAAATAATTGGCCTCTTGGCTGCTGTCTTATTTTGCCCTGTAATTTTAATGTATCTGGTACTGTTTGCCACCTTGTGATTTCAAATGAAAGGCATATAAATGCTTTAAATAAACACACTGATACAGTGGTGCCCCGCAAGACGAATGCCTCGCAAGACGGAAAACCCGCTAGACGAAAGGGTTTTCCGTTTTTGAGTTGCTTCGCAGGACGAATTTCCCTATGGGCTTGCTTCGCAAGACGAAATGTCTTGCGAGTCTTGAGATTTTTTTTCGCTTCCCCCCCTTTTTCTAAGCCGCTAAACCTTTAATAGCCTTTTAGCAGCTAATCCGCTAAGCCGATAAGCCTTTAATAGCCGCTAAACCGCTAATAGCGCTAATCCGTTAAGCCGCTAATAGGGTTGCTTCGCAAGACGAAGAAACCGCTAGACGAAGACACTCGCGGAACGGATTAATTTCGTCTTGCGAGGCACCACTGTGTAATATGTACCTTGATCATCTACAGCAGTCCAAGGTTGTCAGCATGTACGTATTTCCTTGCCAGAAAACAGCAGTTTGTGATATTTACAGTCTGCACTATGCTCTCCTTTTGGTGTCCTCCTCCTGTTTGTTTCCTGTTGTGGCCTGGGAACAGGTGAGTGTGGAAATCTGGCAGTGCGAAAGTGTGAGTATTCTGCCTGGTTAAAAACTCTTTGCACTTTGACAACTAGCATGTCAAGGAAAAGGCATCCCTGGCAGGCTGGCTGACTACATGCAGGAGCTTGAAAAATATATCTGAGGAAAGATTCGTACATGCAGCATCCTGCCTCCATCCAATCTGTGGGACGTTCCATCAAGAGCTACACCAAAGGATTCTACTCATTGTGTGGTTCTGCTGAATGTCAGAAAGGGGGTCACACTGAGGACTGGAGAGCTGGTCTCCATCTCCAGATGTCCTTCCTTTGGAGCCGCCTTCCATGAAGCCGAGGTGGCTAATCTGTGTTCCTGCAGATGTGGATGAAATACAGCTTCCGCCCATCCAGGGCCAGATGAACTGCATCCAAGAGTATTAAAAGAACTGGCAGATGTGATCTCAGAACCACTGGCAGTCATCTTTGAGAATTCCTGGAGAACAGGCGAAGTCCCGGCAGACTGGAGGAGGGCAAATGTTGTCCCTATTTTCAAAAAGGGGGAAAGAGAGGACCCAAATAATTACCGCCCAGTCAGTCTGACATCAATACCAGGGAAGATTCTGGAGCAGATCATTAAGCAAACAGTCTGTGAGCACCTAGAAAGGAATGCTGTGATCACCAATAGTCAGCATGGATTTCTGAAAAATAAGTCATGTCAGACTAACCTGATCTCGTTTTTTGACAGAATTACAAGCCTGGTAGATGAAGGGAACGCAGTGGATGTAGCCTACCTTGATTTCAGCAAGGCATTTGACAAGGTGCCCCATGATATTCTTGTAAAGAAGCTGGTAAAATGCGGTCTTGACTATGCTACCACTCAGTGGATTTGTAACTGGCTGACTGACCGAACCCAAAGGGTGCTCATCAATGGTTCCTCTTCATCCTGGAGAAGAGTGACTAGTGGGGTGCCACAGGGTTCTGTCTTGGGCCCGGTCTTATTCAACATCTTTATCAACGACTTGGATGATGGACTCAAGGGCATCCTGATCAAATTTGCAGATGACACCAAACTGGGAGGGGTGGCTAACACCCCAGAGGACAGGATCACACTTCAAAACGACCTTGACAGATTAGAGAACTGGGCAAAAACAAACAAGATGAATTTTAACAGAGAGAAATGTAAAGTATTGCACTTGGGCAAAAGAAATGAGAGGCACAAATACAAGATGGGTGACACCTGGCGTGAGAGCAGTACATGTGAAAAGGATCTAGGAGTCTTGGTTGACCACAAACTTGACATGAGCCAACAGTGTGACGCGGCAGCTAAAAAAGCCAATGCAATTCTGGGCCGCATCAATAGGAGTATAGCATCTAGATCAAGGGAAGTAATAGTGCCACTGTATTCTGCTCTGGTCAGACCGCACCTGGAGTACTGTGTCCAGTTCTGGGCACCACAGTTCAAGAAGGACACTGACCAACTGGAACGTGTCCAGAGGAGGGCAACCAAAATGGTCAAAGGCCTGGAAACGATGCCTTATGAGGAATGGCTAAGGGAGCTGGGCATGTTTAGCCTGGAGAAGAGGAGGTTAAGGGGTGATATGATAGCCATGTTCAAATATATAAAAGGATGTCACATAGAGGAGGGAGAAAGGTTGTTTTCTGCTGCTCCAGAGAAACGGACACGGAGCAATGGATCCCAACTACAAGAAAGAAGATTCCACCTCAACATTAGGAAGAACTTCCTGACAGTAAGAGCTGTTTGACAGTGGAATTTGCTGCCAAGGAGTGTGGTGGAGTCTCCTTCTTTGGAGGTCTTTAAGCAGAGGCTTGACAACCATATGTCAGGAGTGCTCTGATGGTGTTTCCTGCTTGGCAGGGGGTTGGACTCGATGGCCCCTGTGGTCTCTTCCAACTCTATGATTCTATGATTCTATGATTCTATGATCCCAGCCACCTGGGCTAAGGGGCAGAAATTAGGCAGAATCTGGAAGGCCAAAAGTTAGCCACTTGTACTATAAGGCTACATAAAGGTTTAAAATGCAACCAGCGGAGGGAAACAGGTTATATGCATTCTCTATGCATTGTGTGTTTTACAGTTTGAAATTATCTTCTTCTTGAGACTATGGGATAGGAAATTGGGCAGAGACAGTGAGTGGATATTGGTGATCATCTGCCACATGGTAACTTACTATGGCCATACTGCTAGAGGTGCACATGTGTGACAAAAGGGGCATCCGCACGCACTCACCATGTGAACAACCACGCCACCACAAGGTTATTTCACATGCCACAAACTGAGTTAAGTCATTACAGAACAGCTCCCCTAATATCTGGCAGTAAGATGTTGGGCTGGAAAATCACATGCATGGATTGAGCTCATTGCTTTTGGGGATTTAGGATATGACACTTCGTAGTTACATAAAAACTTTAGCTCAGAGTGACAGAGAAGCTTTTACACTTCTTTCTCCCCGTGTTTGACATTAGATGGATGGACAAATGTACACACACCACTCAATCCCATCACTGATTGACAGCTTGGCAGCCTTTCCCTTCAGATGTTTTAGACAACACCTCCTATCAGCTCTGCCCATTGGTCATGCTGGCTGATAAGCTGGAGGCCAACAGTATCTGGGTACATCAGGTTGGGAAAGATGGCATTGTAAGATGGCTCAC